GTGTTATGAACAAATATTCCAAGATGCACTTGCCTTATGATAAATTTGTACGCCAGTTACCACGCGTACAAAACTACTTAACACAACCAAAATACTGGAAAAACAGTAACAAAAGTGGACAGAAAAAAGACTTCCTTGTGCAGTTTTCTTTGCAACAATGGGATTCCCTCTCACACAAAGAAAAACTTCGTCATACAATATATGACTGTTCTCCATGTGAAAATACAAAACTGATAAATTATTCAGTACTTCACAAGTCCGCCACAGAATCAACTGAAAACATCGTGCAAATGTCTAATGAACTTGCAAATGAAATTGAAAATAAAAACAGTACAGGGGTCAACAAAATATTGAATGTCTTAGAACCAATCTTTGAAAAAAAGTTTCAAACAAACTTGAAATCAGTTGTTTCTGATAGGTACAACTTAACAGAAAAACTGCCTAGTGAGCAGAAACGCAAACAAAAAATCAAGCAAACACAAGAAAACACAAACAAAATAAACCAAATCATAACCAACAATGAAAGTGAGGTTCAAAATTTTCTTGCATCAGGGAAGTCTTACAGTCAAGTTGATAGGGATAGATTGTCCACATTTTTTGAAGCCACAAATTCAGCAAGGGAGAGAACTGTCCGTGTGTCAAAAAAAATTAAAGAAGGCTTACAAAAGGCAAAAAAACATGTGGGAAACATGGACAACTACACGTTCGACAGAGATGGCTTTTTAAAATATATGCAGAATCTTCCATCAGGATCACGGGTTATCTGGCGCTACCTAGCGTTTAAATTTCATGTAAAAAACAAAAAAGGTCTTGTTCCAAAAAATGCTGGCCAAGTTTTACAAACATTTGCTTGTCAAAATGGTGTAAACACAGATAAATTTAATCAATATCAGCGTGTAAGTGGTAGAGACTTTGTTCAAAGGGTAAGAAGATCACGACAGAAAATTTACAAATTTATTTCTATTCCAACACCAAAACCAGCCAGAAAATTAAGAGAAGTAGTACACCAAAAACTAGAAAACAAAGACCTCTACATTGGAGAACAGATTGCCCCAAAAGCTTTCAAATCAAACAAAATCGATACATCAGGTACCCTCGCCACTGTTGATTACACTGTATATGGGAGAATGATTCCCCTAAAAAAGATCATAGAACAGATGGCAGAAATTCACAGGGAATACCAAAGAGAAACAGACACTGATGAAAGCAAAACAAGGCACCTGAAGATCTGGCATGATCACTCTGATATTCTTAACCACAGCTATATCACCATCATGGTAAGCACACTTTACGACTCTGCCTCCTTCATCACAGATGAAGAATACAAGAGGAAGTACCCAGAGCGTCCACCAGCTGATGTTCAAGCAATGGTAGAAAAGCCATTTCTCTACGTACTTGGGCAGTCTTCTAGCAGTGATGTTGACCAGCTTTCCTACATGCCAGCAAGGGTTGATGACCTCTCGAGTCTTCGGAACCAGGATGGTGACGTCCGGTACATTTTAAGATACTTCAGTGGAGACGGCCCCGCCAGACAGTTTGAAGCTGGTCACCAGAGGGGAGGAAATTTCAGTTGTTTATGTGGCATTTGTTCAAAGGACCACATGAATCTAGAGTGTGCGTTCAATAGTAAAGCTCCAACACTTCAGGAAAGAGTGGAGATTCTTAGAAAAGGAGTGTTATGGAAACAGTTTTCCTTAACGAGACCATCACCATTTGCCAATTTAAAAAAAATAGAAATTGTAAGAGAACTCAATGCTAGAGGGTGTGATACAGTAAACAAGAGCAAGGGTGAACTGCAGGAAGAGCTGGTAAGAACACTCAGAGGGATTCAGAGACCACCAGCCTTCTTCACAACAAGTCAAGATGTGTCAGACCTACTCCAAACTTACGAAGTACCACCAGCTGAACCCCTTCATGACATTACGAATATCGTGCAGAACCTAATTACAGAGCTTCCCCACCATATTGATGATGCTGACACAAAGAAAGATTATGAACAGTTTTCAGTTACCACCATCGGAGACAAAAATCAGCTGAAAGGATCTGATGCCCGTCTTTTTGCAGTGAAGTTGGCAATGTTTTCACACTCAAAGTTCTCAGAGAATAAAATTAGTAAGGATATTTATGAACTGTGCACCTGTTCAGTAGAGATAATATCCATCTGCTATAGTCCATATCAACAAAGAACAACCAAGAAAATTCTAAGATTGTATAATCTCTGCTTCAAATTCAGCATTCTTTCAAGGACAGTTATCAGCATACCAAAGAAGATGACTACCAGAAAATTCTATGGCTCACATTTCCACAGCCTAACAGTTCACACCCCAGAAACTTTCAGATTAATTTGTCTGCGCTCCCTGATTCCAGAACAAGAGGAAAGATCATTTGGGGATCTACGAAACATCTCTCTCAACACAGCTAACAGACAATGTGGTAAAATCATAGACAATGCAGTTCTCAGGTACAATGCACAACAGCTGAATGAAAACAAAAAAGATTATGTTAAACATCAAGACTCGATCATCAGTCACCAAGCCAAACGTCTTCCAAAGACAGGGAACACCTTATTTGATATGGATTTCCTACAAAAAAGACCAACCTTATTTCAAACCCACTGCCAAAGGATCTCTGATTTCCTGAGTTGTGGTGAGAGCACTTGGTGGTCTATCTGCAGTGATGGCATAATGTTTCATGATGGTCCAGACGAGCAAGACTTTCAAAGTTATCCACCTCTTAGTCACTTCCGTTCCATGACAGGAAAAGATCAAGAAAGAGTATTAGAGGGGGAATGGCAGAAGTGCATTCAGCAATATGAAGACTCTGCTCTCAGACTGCCACTCTGCAAGATTAGAATTTTTCAAGAGGGAAAACTTTGCAGAATTGTGAAAAATGATGGTATGTCAAAAGATTGTTATCAAAATTATCATCATAAATACTAAATTCAAATTTTCAAAATTTCCTTAAAATGTTAAAAATATTAACATGACCAAAAATCATTAACTAAAGTTTTGTCCTTTTCTCCAAAATTTATCAGCTGTTCTTAAAAATGACACATAAATGAATACACATTTAGCAAATCCTCCTTTCTTCAGATTTCATTAGAGCGGTGGAAGAGTACAATAGATTATCTGTCATGAAGGCATCACATACACCCCAGCAGTTGATAGGTTCTACAGCAAACAAGGCCAGCAACACAGGTATTCCTACAATTAATATGCATACTTTATTATTCATTAACTTGTATTTTGTACTTTTACGTGTGGATATATCATAAGTATAATATTATGTATCAATTATGTCATCATGAGAGCTCCAAAATTGTGAAAAGGTGTCAGATTTAAGTGATACCTACAATTTTATTCTTGACAATTGTAATTTTGTTTTATTCTGTCACATTATGTGTGACATATACATTTATCTAGACTAGGATAACTTTGTGGTCACAATATGACTTACAAATTAAAGCATTAGCAACTAGAACTGTCACTGATAGGACTAATTACCCCCCCCCCCCAGGCAACTCATTTGAGGACATCCTTTAAACAAGAGACCCATGGGCCACAACACTCACCTGAGTAACTCTGGCCATGCTGTTCTTCACTATATTTCCCCTTTTGTAAAACCTAATGTGGCCCTAAACTACTTCCAGGGTTCAGGATTTGAACAATTTAGTATCTACACCACCCAAGGATGCTTCCACATAATTTCAGCTTTTCTGGCCCGTGGTTCTTGAGAAGAAGCTTTTTAATGACCTCACCCTACTTTTGTCTTTTCTTGATTATCTCCCCTTGGAATGGGGCTTGACCCTTCATTTTAACAATTTAAACTCCTCTTTACCCAAGGATGCTGTGAAATAAGTTTGTTAAGATCTGTTCATGTGTACCCTTGAGATAAACATCACTGATATGTATATAGACATAGGTAGATGGTCAGACAGACAGACTTTCTGATTCCACTTATGCCCCGAGACATTACTTGTCAGGTTATTATCATTATATTTTGAAATCTTATCTGTTTAAGGATCTAAAAAGTCACAAAGTACCAGATTGACACATGATGATGGTAATGATGGTGGTGATGGTCATGGTGATGATGGTGATGGTAATGCTGGTGGTGATAGTGATGATGGTGATGATGGTGTTGGGGATGATGGTCATGGTCATGGTGTCGGTGATGGTCATGCTGGTGGTGATGGTCATGATGGTATTGGTGATGATGGTGTTGGTGATGATGGTGTTGGTCATGGTGTTTGTGATGTTGGTGATGGTCATAGTGTTAGTGATGGTGTTGGTTATGGTCATGGTGGAGATGATGGTGTTGGTCACGGTGTTGGTGATGGTCATGGTAGTGATGATGGAGATGGCATTGGACAAGAGACAGGTATTTCTACAAATAAGCAAATTTACAATCAGAACCAGAGCATAGACACAAGTATCAAGATATACATGTATTTCATTTATCATCTTATTTATATATGAGTAATTTTTCAAAATAGTCTCCCTAAATGAAGTACAAAAGAAAGGCTTAGGAAAATCTGAAGGCTCCCACAGGTCTCAAGATGAAAATGGAAATGTACAAACCAGAGGTATTAAATTAAAAACATTTGAAAATTCAACAAAAGACCAATAGGACACAGAGCCTACCTGAGTCACTTTGGCCTTTTGCTTTTCATCAACAGATTTTTTTTCTAAATATACATGTGCAAAATTTAGAACATGCAAAATTTAGAACATATAATCTTAATAATCTTAATTATCTCCCCTTGAAAGAGGATGTGGCTTTTTCTTGGGTAATTTTGAATTTTGAAATTGGCCCTATGGTTCTGGAGAAGAAGCTGAAAATTTCAAAAGCTTACAATGACAATGCCGACAATAGACAACAGACAAATATTGATCCTATAAGCTAACTTAAACCTTCTGCTCAGATGAGCGAAAAAAATAAAACAAAAATTAACTTGAATATCTCTTTCACTTTCTTGAGAATGATTATCAGGTGTTTCAATTAATATCTCCTATAAATTAACATATCAATTAAATAGTTAAATACCAGTACAGATAGGTTCCTTGTCAGATTATCATCATATATCTTACAAGGCCATTCTTAAAAAATTGTTTGTTTGCCCTCTCCCAACCGACTGACTAAAGACGACTTGACTTAGAACTATTTTTTACCTCTAGGAAACGATATATATTTTTTTTATTCCTGGATTTGTTCATCCTGTCCATATGTATGTTTAAGTCTTCTAGGGGAAAAAAATTTTCTCACCTACTTACTGACCCAATTTCTTACCCTGAGTTGGGAGAGGGCAAACAGACATTATTTTAAAGATTGCCTAATCTTATGTAATGCAGAATCTGTAAAGTCACAGATTACCCAAATGACAAATTATGACGGTGATGATGGGCATGGTGATGATGGTGGTGATGATGGACTTGGTGATGATGATGGTGACGATAATGGTGGTCAAAGGCATGGTGATGATGGTGGTGATGATGATGATGGCATTGGACAAGAGAAAGGTATTTCTACAAATATGCAAATTTACAATCAGAACCTAAACATAGACTAGATTACCAAAATATATTTCATGTATTGTCTGATAAGAATATTTATCGATGAGTGTTATTTTAAAACTTTCTCCCAGATGAAGTACACAAGAAAGGCTTGAGATAATTTAAAGGATTCAACATGTATTTTACCTTGATGATAAGATTATTATGTTTTAAACAAAACTGTATTTATAAAATGTTCTATACATTGACACTTTCAATGGATAAACACCAGTGATGATATGTCTATAGATAGATGGTCAGACAGACACGCATACTTTGCGATTCCAGTTTAGCTTTCAGATTTTTATTGTCAGGTTATCATCATTATATTTTATAATCAAATCTATTGCAGAAAAGTCACAGATTACCCGAATGACAAGTGATTGTGATGATGAACATGGTAATGATGGTGGTGATGATGGGCATGTAGATGGACTTGGTTATGGAAGTCATGGTCATGGTGGTAATGGTGTTGGTGGTGATGGTAGTGATGGTGTTGGTGGTGATGGTGTTGGTGGTCATGGTGGTGATGGTGTTGGTGGTCATGGTGGTGATGGTGTTGGTGGTCATGGTGGTGATGGTGCTGGTCATGAGGGTGATGATGATGTTGGTGTTGGTCATGATGTCGGTGATGGTCATGATGTTGGTGTTGGTCATGATGTCGGTGATGGTCATGATGTTGGTGATGGTCATGGTGGTGATGATGGTGATGGCATTGGACAAGAGACAGGTATTTCTACAAATATGCAAATTTACAATCAGAACCAGAGCATAGACACAAGTATCAAGATATATTTCATTTATCCTCTGATAAGAATAGTTATCAATGAGTGTTATTCTTAAACTTTCTTTCAGATGAGGTACACAAGAAAAGCCTGGGAAAGTTTAAAGGCTTGTACAGGTCACAAGATGAAGAAGACAGTGAACAACCCTTAGGTATTTGTAGAAAAAAAATAATTCAGAAGTCTTCAGGCATGTTACAACTTATAGGTATAGTAACTCTCCATTATAAAGAAATCACTTATAAGAGAAGCACTTGATAATAGGAAAACACATATATGAATCTTGGCAAAGAATAACACTATGTTCTTTATAAAAAAATATATATATATAAAGAATCTCTGTTTAAGGGAAGCAAAATTTGAAGATTCTGTGCTTCCTCATAACCAAGGTTAACTGTATATGTACTTTCCTACCAAAAATTTTTATCAATTGTTTAAAAAGACATTCAATTAATGAGTTTCTATTAATTTTACCAAGATGAGATAGGCAAAGAAGGCATTTGGAAATCAAAGGGTATCCCTATATCACATAACGATTACTTTGAACAAGACAAAGGTACTTCTTACACTGAAAATTGTAATCTTAATGGTACCAAGACTTTGCTTTTTCCTCTTTGCTAAAAACATACAATTTTCTTTTCTAGAGTTTTTTTTTTATTCTTCAGTTTATCTGGATAAAGAACACAAAGATGTTGAGAAGTCAGGGGGTTTCCATAAGTCACATGAAGGTGAAAAAGTCACAGGTAAGTCTAAAAATCAAAATAAATGGCAAAATTTAAGGAGTAACATTAATATCAGTACCAGCAAAGCTAACAAGGCTCCTATGCTTACAGAAACCCTTTTTTACTATATTTTATCTTTAAATTTTACCTAGTAAACAATGTTGACTCAAAAGGAATAGGAAATTCGGCGGGTTCCCTAATGTCACAGTCAAACAATGGTGGTGGACAAGATACAGGTAAAGCTAAAAGCACACAATAAACAAATAAAAGAATGATTAAAGTAAACAACAGGAAAATCATCTTGACATTACTCATACAATTTAACTTTATACTCATGTCTTAATGCAAACAAGATTTTCAAAACTGTTCAAAGAAAGTGCTCTTTAATACATATCAAGTTAAAATAAAAATATTTTAAGACAATTAATGCACATGATCCTTGGGTTTGTTATCTGTTACTAGTTATTGGAAAAAATAACAATTTAAAGGTTTTGTTGGTGACCGTCTACAGAGATATATTGAGTTGATCAATATGATATCTTACACAGCAAGGTGAGGCAGAGCCATCTCTAAGATTGATAAACCCAATACCAGTGATTTTTTTTGGGTCAAAATGCCACCGATATTCGTCTGTTTCCCCTCACAAAAATTAGCTATTTTTTCCCAATTATTAGTATATTTTTCCCAATTTCAAACTTACGAAAATTATGTTTTAATTTTGAACAAAAGTTGCTAAATTTGCTGACACTAGAGTAAATACGTTTTTATACTTCAAATCCATGCATATTAATGAATGTGTAAAACAATGTAGATATCCATACAAGCAGATAAGTAGCTTATAATATTCTCAATGAATTGGTCAATAGTTCCCAGATACAAGTGATATTGCATGTTGACATAATGATTTTGGTTTGACCGCCATTATTACACAGAGGGTCAGGCTAATAACAGGAAATTGACAACACATAGGGTTTCACTAAAATCAGGAAAAAACAAACAGTAGACTGTTTACTTGATTATCCATATAAGACAGTTTACTAGATTATGAGTCTAAATGCTGTTTTTGTTGTTTTTTTTAATGAAATTAGATAAAGCAATTCCAAGAAAATAGAAGCTACAAGATGTGACTAATATAAGCCATGTTCACATTCAATAGAATATTGATGTTAATATTTTTAAATTATTATTATTTGAATTTAAATCAAATTCAAAGTTAAAATCAAACAAAATCTGTTGTTGTTACTTAGTTTGATTACTTTATGTATTTTTTAGCATTCTAATTTACTATAAATGATTTTTCCCAATTTAAAGAAAATGTCGCTAATTTTTTCCCAATTCAAAAGGAGGGGGTGGTGGTTTAAAAAACAAAAAAAAATCACTGAATACATGAAATGTGGGTAGTCACTAACAAAACCTTATAAGTATTAATGTTGCTTGTATAAATCTTATCAAAATCATATAATGGGTCAATGAAGAAATAAGAGGCACCATAGCAACTGACTATCAAAAGAAATAATAATAAAAAAAAAAATATTTAAAAAACAATTTATGTAAATTGTAAACTGTTGAAGTTCTTAATATATTTTCTCTGATTTATTCCAGTGTTTTTATCTTCCTTAACAAAAAACAGAATAACTAGTACCTGATGCCATTCTGTTTTCTCTCTATGTTAGACTTGCCTTTTCCAAAGGAATGTTTCTGAAAATATGTCTTAACAATAAATAAAAGGCATATATTAGCTACTGATAGTTGGCATGTTCACTCTTTAATTACAATTTTATGATTTTTAGCAAAAATCATTACAACACTATGATACTAATTTTTAGTTCTGGAATTTGCAGGTGTAAAATTACCTTCAGGGGTTTGTGTTGAAAAAGGGCAGCCATTGCAGAACAAGCGATTACGAGAATTAGCATCAGTTGTGAGCTGTAATGCAGGTAAATATAAATAAATCTAAAAACATAATAAATAGCACTGTGTATACATGTGCATATTTGTTATTCTTAGATTGAAGACAAAAAATGCACTTTTTCATCTGTTTTTGCAATGGTACATGTATTAAAGATTTATGTTTCAAATGTCTTTCAGTCTTTAAGACTTTATTTTGTATGTTTGTTGTTTTACATCCCTCTCAAGAATTTTTCACTCATATGGAGACATCTCCACTTCCTGGTGGAGGGCTGCAAATTTATACCTATACTTGACACTCAGGGCCTTTGAGCAGTGAGGGATCTTTTTCGTGCCAACACTTATTTCGTTTATACAGTCTCATCCAAAGGACTGGTCTCCACATCCCGCGGTGGATTCAAACCCATGATGTAAGGATCAGGTCCTTACTCCACAACTCTCGAGCAGATGCTCTAACCACTGTGCCACGTAGGCAACCTTTACGACTTTGAAAAAATTTTTTGGACAAGTAAAAATTTTGTTGGAACAAGAAAATTTCAGTTATTTGTCGGAATGGCCAAGTAAGAGGAGAAAGCCTGAATATAATTATGCAACCCTGAACATAGAATTATCACAGACATTGTGAGAATGGTTTATAATGTTTTTGATATTCTCCAGATTGTTCCAATGAGAAAAAACCATGTAGGCGTAGGCTTTTTACAGAGGGACCAGGTATCTACTATACTTTTGTGATCTTGTTGAATAATGAAGTTTTTGAATTTTTAATTTAAATCAAGTGTACTGTTGATAGACAGTAAATGCTCACAGGATATTTTGTTTACCTTAGATACAGAATCTACCGTCTACATGGTGAAAGCCCTCCTGCCTAGCAATGACCCAGTATTGGCCGAATTCATCAAGTACAGAAGACTCCTGAAAAATGATAAATCATTTAAACAATCATACGAGCGTGCATTAGCAAAACTACAGACTTCCATCAGCAAAAAACACAGGGAGTTGCTGGAAAGTAAAGAGCAGGAAAAATCTGTCCCTCTGATTAAAATGGCAGAGAAACTGTTACTTCGTTGGAACATTTATTTTTAGATGGTTAAGTCTTATGATCAATTTTCAAAGAATTTACGTGGATCTCTAAAAATGCCTTACTTATTAAGCACGATACTGTTTTTCCTAATAATTTATTACATAAGAAGTTTTTAAATGTAACACTGCATGGGTATACTTTATCTGTTTGTCCATTATGTATTGTCATGAAATACTGTCCATAATTAACTTTCACCTGGATCATAAAAAGATGATATATGCTATGGATAAACATATTGATAAAGTTCATGTAAACATGAATGAAATTCTAGTGTGATTATTTACATGGATTACATTACTTCTAAATATACCTTGTAACTTTAATATATGCACGAGCAATAGAAAGGTTTTGTTCAATCATTCAAAAATTTCTCACAATTTTCTGTATGACCTGTTTATTGTATACAAATGAATACATGAATGGAGGTTTGGGGGGTTGGAGTGGGACGGTGGCTGGTGTTTAAATTTTCTGACCGTTAATTTTGGTTTACAAGGAGGTGGTTGGTTATCTGATATACACTTAGGATACTGTTGTGTGTTTTTGTGGGATTGAAATGTTTGCTGTAGGCTAGTAAATAACAATCATTTATATTCATTATTTTTGACTAAAAATATATTTCCAGGGCGATGCAGACTAAACATGCTAAAAATATGAATATTTGAAAATTTAAATAAAAAATTAATTTGTGTTTTAATGTATGTAAATATAGGGTCTCAGCAAAATGTTTGTAAACAAACATGAACTAAATGTTTTCATTTTAACACATGATGTAAATAGGCCATGTCATTTACTTGTACAGCTGTACAGTGGTTGTAAACAAATGTGCATTACTATTCAGATTAAACCTTGTCATATGCATGATGCCAATTAAGGGATTTAGAGTTCTTTGATCAATTCAAAACCTAAGAAGATACAGGAATTTTAAGTAAACAACAAAGTCAACTTTCAGCATTGAATTATTAACAAAAAATTGTAGCATGCATTTTATAATTTGATATTTCTAGTGTCTTAAATTTTTTTATTCTTTGATCTGCTTTTTTTTTTCTTTTTTTTTTTTTTATAATATGCTGTGTTGCTTATTAGACTATGCTTCGGTTTAAAGTAACAATGATGAAAATGAACAAAATCAGTGCAGCAAATAAAATGTGCCAAATAATGTTTGTTAGGACCAACCTTGACCCAAAATCACTAACTCTCCCATGGAGAAATTAAAGGGAAAAATTCTAATCGTAGGGAAACTTCCTAGAATCTGCACTGTGCATTGATCATTAAACTTAAAATTTTAAATACATAGACATGTCAATGTATATTCATAAACATGTACTTATATATTCCTCTGTATTTTTCAAATGACAATAATACATCTGTATCTACATTATGGTGTTATGTTTTTTGTTTGTTTGTTTATCGTTAAACGTCCCACTCGAGAATTTTTCACTCATATGGAGACGCCACCACTTGCCGGTGGAGAGCTGCAAATTTTGACCTATACTCAGCACTCAGGGCCATTGAGCAGTGAGGGATCTTTTTCGTGCCAGCACCTTCTGCAACACGGGACCTCAGTTCATACAGTCTCATCCGAAGGACCCGTCTCCACATCCCACAGTGAGATTCCTTACTCCGCGACTTATTGTGTTATGAAAAACACTCCTTAATGTCGATTAAGAGTTCAACTTCATGACTGTGAGTGTTCGCCAGTCAATACCTCCAATTTAATAACAGCAACATGTGTTTGTATTGTGTATTCACGGCATGAACTTTACATTTTGACAAAAGAAAGGTCCAAAACCCTCTTCAACTTTTTTGACATGATATTGATACCTGCCGTGTTCTACTTCTGTCTTGGTGGGCAATTCTAGAGGAGTTTCTACCAAGTGTTCGATGTAATGATCAACTGCATTGAAAACAGATACTCTGCTGTGATTCATATTTTAACAGCAGTAAAACAAAACAACATTTGAGTATATGATTTTTTGTTAACTGGCAAAACACTTGTCCGCAGGCAGGTACTAGTCATCAAATAACTTGCCTGCCAAACGAAATTGGTTGTCCCCGGCATTGGGGAATGCTATTTGTCTAGCCCTTCACCCAGAACTTTTGTAATTCCTTTGATTTTCAACCCCAATCATAACACACAGTTCATTTTTTTAGGAAAAAAGGAGGGTTTTTGCAATTGGCAATGGGACATAAATTTGGCCCTACATGGGGCAGTGGAAAATTCCTGTATTCAGCAGATTTAATAAAATTGAATGTATAAATATTAATTATTATATTATTATTATATTTGTCAGGATGTAGGTTCATGGATAAGCATGACCTGTAAAATACAAGAACATTGGACCCCCCAAATGCTACGCATTTATTGACAGGGTTCAAGGTCAACATGCTTTTTATTTAACCAAGAACCAAACTGTTTGCCTGAGGCCATTAGGCTGAAGGAGAACAGTTTGGTTTGAGGGTTGACAAAATGCACTTTGCCCAAGAACTCAGTCAATAAATGTTTTGTTATACCTTTTATTTATTTTGATTCTTTTTGACATACAGTACATGTATGTTCTAGCTTCCGTGATGTAAACTGATGTTACACTCGGTCAATTCCGTTACTGTTCCAATAAATGCAAATGAGATTTAGCTATCATTCAGCACATTGTGTGACGTAAGCGTTCCAATATCTAACTCTGCGGTCAAACATCTTTTTTTTCTAATCGCTCAGTAAAACATTGCAATTGATAGACTTTTTAAGCATAGATTGGTATAGAGAAACTTTTTTTTAAAAGGTATAACAAGAAGTTATATTTGACATTAATAAAATAATGCAGTACTCTTTGTGAAACATGAAATAAAAATATTGTGTATTAAAGCTTTAACATGTTTTATAATGTCAATGTGCGACTTCAGTTATAAACAATTGAAATTGATGCTGAAACACACACCAAAAATATATATATCCATATAAAACAGTGCTTGTTCAAGTTGTTGTTACTTAAAATTTCATTTTTTTTTTTTTTAGAGTTGCACTTGTTCATATTTTTGTGCTCTTGTGCACCATCAGTACAGTGAATCTCAGACTCCCATGGGGTATTTCATTTAAAGTGCAACAATAAATGCTAATCTTGTGCAGAATCCTACAAAACTAGACTTCCCCACAGGAGTTCGCAATTTTATCAATAAAGTAGGGGTGAAACGATACACCTCCTTCACGGTTCGATACGTATTGTATAATTTTGTCTCGGTTCGGTTATTTTCGATACGATACATTTTGATAAAAGGAAACAAATTCTATGTTGTTTTATGCTTTCTTTTTCTAAATCTAGTCACATATTTTACGAATTTTATTTGCAAATTGACTAGAAGAAATTGATTGAAATTATTTGACTGTCAAAAATTATTTTACAACCTATCAGTCATCAAAAATTTACGTTTTCTATACTTATTTATTCTGAGTAACGTGTTATACCTTATGCCAAACCCGACTGAATAACGATCCCGACCGAAAAATGAACCGAACCGAAAATTAGAGATTTTGCACCGTGTATCAAACCGAGAAAAAATACCGCGGTGCATCGATACCGCGGTGAACCGTTTCACTCCTACAATAAAGTCAATAAAAATCACTCGATTGACCAAGCAATGAGCTATGCGTTAGCATAGCGAACAGTTGCATTCCTGTTCGCTATGCTAACGCATAGCTCATGACTTGGTCAATCGAGTGAATTGATAAAATTGCGAACTCCTGTGACTTCCCATATGGGGCCCCAGTATTTAAAACTTTTTCAATGATGATAAACTTGAGTGTTCGGAGTATTATAATAACACGAAATATCACTTCATCTTCTTTTATGCAATAACTAAAATGTACAGTATATGCTATCACACTATAAAGAAATCATACAACTTCTTTTTAAAAGAAGAACCCTCAAAAAGAATATGAACCACGTG